CAACGTATAGATACTCGTCACCATGCCTATACGTCGTACTCAACAAGAAGCAATTAACAATTAAGACTCAACTCCTAATCCCTCAAGCTAGGGTTAGACCAAACACTTACCTCAATGCCTTGAATACAACTCAAGCCTCAATTGTAGCTTTACCCCGTGATTCCACCGCCAATTCGCTCGTATCTAATCACAAATTACTTAATTACATTAATAAACACTAAATGAATCAACCGCAATGCATGAAAATGAGTTTCCCAAAGTTTTACCCAAAAAGTCAAAAATCGCCCCCGAGCCCACATGGTCAAAACCCGATTACCCATTCCCCCACGAACTCAAACATGTAATTTGTTTTGAAATCGGACCTCAAATCGAGGTCCAAATCTCCAATTTTTGAAAAATCTAGGTTCTACCCAAAACACCCAATTTCCCCCATGAAAATCTTTGATTTTAGGTTGAAATCATGTTAAAAGATGTTAATGATTGAAAGAAATGAGTAAAAACTAACTTACAAATGATTTGGAAGAAGTCTTGTTCTTGAAAAATCGCCTAAGTGTGTTTGGGTTTGAGAAAATATGAAAAAATGAAGCTCAAAATCGTTTAAGTGTAAAAATTGCAGGTCTCAGATATGGGAATTCCGAACAGGGGTTCGCAATTGTGAACCCCGACCCTCAGATATGGGAATTGCGAAGTGAAGTTCGCATTTGCGAACACTGAACAAAATGAGGGACTTCGCATCTGCGACAAAAAATATCGCATTTGCGACAGTCCAGTTCCGCATTTGCGAACCATTTGGTCGCATTTGCGATTCCTGGCCATCATGGGCACCTTCGCATTTGCGAAGTGAATTATCGCATTTGCGATGGAGGGTCAGGTCTGGGATATCTCGCATTTGCGAGTAAACCTTCGCATTTGCGAGCTCGCATTTGCAAGCCAGGCTTCGCAAATCAGCTAATTTCCAAGTTCTAAAATGCAACCTGTGGCCTATCCAAAACTCACCCGAGCCCTCGGGGCTCCAAACCAAATATGCACACAACCTCAAAAACATCCTACGAACTTATTCGCACGATCAAATCGCCAAAATAACATCATAAACATTGAATTAAACCCCAAAATCCAAGAATTCTTTCAAACTTCATAAAACATCAAATTTTTCAATTTAGGCCCGAATCACGTCAAACGATGTCCGTTTTCAATCCAATTTCACAGGAAGGACTTAAAACATATATAAGACCTGCACCAGGCGCCAGAACCAAAATACGGGCCCGATACCATCGCTTTCTAATCAGATTTCATTTCCAATTTCAGAAAACAATTTTACTAAAAAATTCATTTCTCGGGCTTGGTACCTCGGAATTCGATTCCGGGCATACGCCCAAGTCCCATGTTTTCCTACGGACCCTCCGGGACAGTCAAATCACGGGTCCGGGTCCGTTTACCCAAAATATTAACCAAGGTCAAATTTATTCATTTTAACATCAAAACTTAGCTTTTGTCACAGAATTTCATATTTAAGCTTTCCCGTTACGCGCCCGGACTGTGCACGCAAATCGAGGCAACTCTAAATGAGGTTTTCAAGGCCTCGGAGACACAGAATTCAATTAAAAACAGGTGATGACCCTTTGGGTCGTCACATTCTCCACCTCTGAAACAACTGTTCGTCCTCGAACGGACAGAAGAAGGAAGTACCTGAGTCGGGGAAAAGATGAGGATAACGGCTCCGCATATCGGACTCGGACTCCCAGGTCAATGCCTCAGGAGGCTGACCTCTCCATTGAACACGAACAGAAGGGAAACTCTATGACCTCAACTGGCGAACCTACCGGTCTAGAATAGCCACCGGCTCCTCCTCATAAGACAAGTCCTTGTCCAACTGGACAGAGCTGAAATCTAACACGTGGGCTGGATTACTGTGATACCTCTGAAGCATGGACACATGAAACACTAGATGCACGACTGATAAGCTCGGCGGCAAAGCAAGTCTATAAGCCACCTCTCCCACTCGATCAAGAATCTCAAACGGACCAATGAACCTAGGGCTAAGCTTGCCCTTCTTCCCAAATCTCATCACGCCCTTCATAGGCGACACTCGGAGCAATACCCGCTCACCAACCATAAAAGCCATATCTCGAACCTTGCGGTCTGCATAGCTCTATTGCCTGGACTGAGCTGAACGAAGCCTATCCTGAATGATCCTGACCTTGTCCAAGGCTTCCTGAACCATATCCGTACCCAACAATTGAGCCTCTCCCGGCTCAAACCATCCAACCGGAGACCGACACCGCCTACCATATAAGGCCTCATAAGGAGCCATCTGGATGCTCGACTGGTAGCTGTTGTTGTAGGCAAACTCTGCTAAAGGCAAAAACTGATCCCACGAGCCTCCAAAGTCAATAACACAAGCTTGGAGCATATCCTCCAAAATCTGAATAGTCCGCTCGGACTGACCTTCCGTCTGGTGATGAAATGCTGTGCTCAACTCAACCCGTGTGCCTAACTCTCGCTGAACTGCTCTCCAGAAGCGCGAGGTAAACTGCGTACCCCGGTCCGAAATGATAGATACAGGCACACCATGAAGGCGAACAATCTCCCGAATGTAGATCTCAGCTAACCTCTCAGAAGAATAGGAGACTGCCACAGGAATGAAATGTGCTGACTTGGTTAGCCTATCAACAATGACCCATACTGCGTCGAACTTCTTCCGAGTCAGCGGAAGTCCAGTAATAAAATCCATGGTGATCCGCTCCCACTTCCACTCGGGAAGCTCAATCCTCTGAAATATACCACCAGGCCTATGATGCTCGTACTTAACCTGCTGACAATTCAAACAACGAGCCACATATGCTACGATATCCTTCTTCATTCTACGCCACCAATAATGCTGCCGCAAATCCTGATACATCTTTGCTGCGCCCGGATGAATAAAGTGTCGGGAGCTATGGGCCTCCTCCAAAATCAACTCTTGTAGCCCATCCACATTAGGCACACATACTCGGCCCTGCAATCTCAAAACTCCATCATCA